ATCAGCGTTCAGCTCAACACCTCATGCCAGTTCTCCAGAAGCATGTTAGACAGGGAAGCACTGTTGTGTCAGATTTGTGGAGAGCCTATAACTGTCTCAGAGATTCTGGATATAACCATCTAACTGTGAACCATAAAGAGGTATTTGCTCACACACAAAACATTGAGAGATTCTGGGGAGTCTGCAAGGCAACAGTGTGGAGATTTAGGGGGAACCGCACAGAAAGCATGCTCAAAGACCTCTTAAAAGTAATTGAGTGGACTTACTGGAGTGGTGAGAAACATAAAAATGGCCCCCTGGGTATGGTTTTGCATGACATTAGAAGGAAATATCCAGTGTGAAAAATGCAGATGTTTGGTTTATTCTGTGACCATCATCATTTGTATTAAAAGCAAATGTCAATTAACTGTTTGGCAATAACTGCTATTATTCAAGATGTGTCTCATTTGTAGTTTGTTCTCTTGTTGAACCATAAAACAACAAAGACATGTTTTCATGTCTTTTTTTTCCTATTGAAAAAAAGCACAAAATTTACTTTAGAATAGGGAACATAATCTGAAGTAATATTGCATTTATTAGTGAGAAATATGCTTGTTAGCTATTAATAAATATTCAGGGAATATTTAAGTTATAAATAATTTGTTAGTATAGAACAACTGCTAGAAAGACTGCTTTTATGTAACATCACAGTGTTTTTCAGTGAATTTAAATGTCTGTGTTGAAATGCCTATTCTATATTTATTTCATACTTATAAGCTACACATTCACACAGTGTACTGAGAACGTATAAAGTGTGTAATTTGCACAATCCAACCTATTAGTTGGTTTTATTTTTAGCTAATTAGTACAGTACATTGTTAGGACAGAATAAAGGACTACAAGACAAAAATAAGTCAACAACTACTAAAGGCCTTATAAATAGCTTGTAATTGTAAAAAAGTCCATAACTAGTCACTTGCAAATGCAGTTATTAGTCATTAATTACGGTATAATGTATGATCCTTAAAATAAAGTGTTACCATTAATAATACTAACATATGACAAAATAAACTCAGTATAACAATAATAAAATAATGTGTCTATACGTAACACCCACCCAGTTGTCATCTTCCTCCTCACATGAAATGGCATAAATGAAAAAAAAAAAAATCTTTGCAGCAAAATAAACTGATTAACACTTAAATATCACAAATGTTTTGTTTACAAATATGTTTGACTAATGTTCCACATATTTGTGTGGAAATTCAACTATAATATTTCTCCTGACAATATCACGGTTCGGTGTTGAATGAACTTGCATGAAGATGAAAGTAAAAGTCTTTAATATATTCACACAAGGTAATCCACAACAGGAAGGCTTAATACACACGTACACGTTGACGAGACCGGACAAAGAAACCCTGAACTGACTACAACTTATATGGAAGAGTAAATGAGGATAATGACAAGACACACCTGCACATAATGACACAATTAAGGGAGACAGAAACTAGGTCAAGGAACATGAGGGATGAAAATGAAAACAAACACAAAAGTCCATGAAGTATGTCAATCACAAATTATTTTCACCAGCTGAACACCAGAGTAACAACATTAAACACAGCTGTTGTTATACATACAGGTACAGACATGGAACATATTAAATCATCACAGTAAATTGTTTCAACGACTATAAAATAATTCAATAAGCTGGTTAATGCTGGTGTATAGCTTGTAGAGCTATAAAAACCATTCTGTTCATAGTCTTTTTTTTTTCTTGACAAAGATGGTTGCACAAAGGCACTTTGCTGGTTAAAATAGTGAAAGGTATATGTTCATTTGTGATATAACAATATCAGTGTGTTCCAGTAACAGCAACGATACCAGTAACAACACCTACAGTAGTAGGTAAGTAGTAGTAGTACAGACTCATTTCAGTACCTGAAAACCAGTTGTTTGACTATTCTATTCCATTTTGTAGTATATGGGGCTTTTTACAAGACACTGTTTTCAAATAAAAACTGAAAGCTTTATGAATTTTAGCCATTCATTTTTAACACAACAATGCCATTTTGGGGACTTGAAAAAGCTAACTTTTGGCAACTGTTTTTAGAGTGCAAGTTTTTAAAAACAATACCGTTACTGTCTCTGTGTAAACTACACTGTAAAAAAAAATCTGTGACATTTACGGTAAAATAACGGCAGCTGTGGTTGCCAGAACTTCACCGTAAAAAATATGGTAGCAACATTTTAGGTTTTACAGACTTAATTAAAAATTCACAATAAAATGCCGTATTTCATTAACTGACGTAATGTTAATAAACCAACATATTGAAGTACTAATATCTGTTTTGAACCATTGTAATGCACTGATAACCACCAAAAACTGGTGGTGATGAGAAAGTCACGTGATGAACCAAAGCTCATCACAAACAGCTTTTCTACGAGCTGAGGAGGGCAATACTTATATATATAGAAGGTGCACAGTATCAGTCACACAAACACTAAACCCCATCATGGTGACACACATGATACTGAAATAATGCAATAAACATTCATTTAACAACATTAGATGTAAGATTAAACCCTAATGTACACAACTGATAAGAAAAAAAAAACTAAGAAGAAACATGTTATTTCAACAAAAAAAACCATCAAATATGAAATGTCATGCAGGGAATTCTGGGAGTGTTAATTTATGGTTTGTCACCGTAACCCATCAAATATGAAGTGTCATGCATGGAATTCTGGGAGTGCCAATTTTCGGTTTTTCACTGTAAATTATACAATGACTTTTTCTTTTTCACTTCCAAATTATGTGATATTTTTAAATAATGCAATAAACATTCATTTAACAACATTAGATGTAAGATTAAACCCTAATGTACACAACTGATAAGAAAAAAAAAACTAAGAAGAAACATGTTATTTCAACAAAAAAAACCATCAAATATGAAATGTCATGCAGGGAATTCTGGGAGTGTTAATTTATGGTTTGTCACTGTAAATTATACAATGACTTTTTTTTTCACTTCCAAAAAATTTATTTTTAACGGTATTTTACTGTAAAATTACATTAAATGTAATTACATTTATTCACCGAATATAGTATGAAAACTTACTGTTAACCAGTTAACAGGTTTTTACTGTAGCATTTTTACAGTATTTTACTGTTAAAATCACAATAATTTTATACAGTGTACAAAAATGCTAATTTGTGAAAATGGTGATTTGCACATGCGTATTATGAGTTCAGTCTATAGGCAAGTAGTGTTTCGCCATCTACTGGACTGTCAGTGTTTTTAGTCGTTTTCACGGATCCATGTGAACATGGATTGTTGGAGTTTCTGCAGCAACTTAAAAAAAAAAAGCATTTTAACCAAAAATTAAAAAAGGGCTCCTTGGTATATAAAAGGGTTCCCAACCTCTGCTCTGTACAGTATACTGTAAAATGTCAAGAACTTGCAGTTCTATTGCTTGTAGAGTGCTTCTTTGTTCCTCATTTTAATACTGAATTTTTTTTTTTTTTTAAAGAAATGTTAATATAATTTACAAATATTTAGGCAACATGTTTTATTATTTAAATGACTAATAATGAATATCAAATTAGTCGTTGCTGTGGTGGTGTTGAAATTGGTGTGGAGGTGAAATTTGACCGGTCTATCAATTTCTGTAAGTGTTGTGAGTTTCAGCTGATGCTTTTCTCTCATTTTCCAATGCCTCTTCACTGTCCCTTTCAATGAAAGTATCAGTGTAATAAATTATATTATATTGAAGTTTCACTTGCAGCCTCAGTCTGATTAAAGGACGTCCCATCGGTAGTGTTCAACAGTATGTCGCAGTCTCCTACAGTGAGGACTCATGGGTCTCTAGAGATTCACTGACAGTAAAGAAGAAGAGAAGAACAGGACTGATGAAAAAAAAATTATATATATAAATAAATACAGAAAAAAATGAAATATTGTGAAATATTATTACAATGTAAAATAACGTTTTTTTATTTTAATATACATTAAAATCTAATTTATTCCTGTGATGCAAAGCTGCATTTTCAGCATCATTGCTCCAGTCTTCAGTGTCATATGATCCTTCAGAAATCATTCTAATATGCTGATTTATTATCAGTGCTAGAAACTGTTGTGCTGCTTAATATTTTTTTGGAACCTGTGATACTTTTTTTCAGGATTCTTTTGACGAATAAAAAGTTAAAAAGAAGAGCATTTATTTAAATTAGAAATATTTTCTAACAATATGCTCTACTGCTCAAAAGTTTGGGGTCAGTAAATTGGTATTCTTTCTTTTTTTTTAAATAAATTAAAACTTTTATTCAGCAAGGATGTGTTAAATTGATAAGAAGTGATAGCAAAGATTTATATTGTTAGAAAAGATTTATATTTTAAATAAATTCTGTTCTTTTTAACTTTTTATTCATCAAAGAATCCTAAAAAAAGTATCGCAGTTTCCCAAAAAATATTTGGCAGCACAACTGTTGCCAACATTGATAATTCTAATAATAAATCAGCATATTAGAATGATTTCTGAAGGATCATGTGACACTTTATACTGGAGTAATGGCTGATGGAAATTCAGCTTTGCATCACAGAAATAAATTATATTTTAAAGGATATTACAATAGAAACCATTATTTTATATTGTAATAAAATTTTGCATGATTACTGTTTTTTCCCTCTGTATTTTTGATCAAATAAATGCAGCCTTGATGAGCATAAGAGGCTTCTTTAAAAAACATTACAAGTCTTACTGATCACAAGTGGCCCAGCCAGAGCCCTGACTTGAACCCTATCGAACATCTTTGGAGAGACCTGAAGCTAGCTGTCCACCAACGGCCCCCATCCAACCTGACCGAGCTTGAGAGGATTTGAAAAGAAGAATGTCAGAAAATCCCCCAATCCAGGTGTGCAAAGCTTGTTGTGTCATACCCAAAAAGACTCGAGGCTGTAATTGCTGACCAAGGAGCTTCAACAGATGGATATATGTATTTATTGAAGTATCAGGAAATCCTAGGAGAAAATGTCATGCTGCCTGCGAGGAAGCTGAAGTTTGGGCATCAATGGACCTTCCAACACAACAATGATCCCAATCATGCTTCAAATTCCACCAAGGCTTGATTGCAGAAGAAGTCCTGGAAGATTCAGCATGTAAACCCAAGAATATTACTGAACTGGAGGCCATTGCTCATGAGGAATGGGCGAAGATTCCCCAGCAACGCTCCCAGAAGCTGGTGTCTGGCTATGTATCTCTTTTGCAACAGGTCATAACAGCAATAGGGAACTCTACTAAGTACAAACGATGCTTGCCAATAATAATTTTGAGACTGCAGAAGTCATTAAAAGTTGCATTTTCAGTTGAATGAATTTGGGGAAAACACTTGAAACATTCGCAGTGATGAGCTATTTCAATTACTTTTGTTTGATTTGTTCATAACAAACAGCTTAAAAGTCTATCTATCTATATATGTGTGTGTGTGCGTGTGTGTGTTTTCAGATTGCACAAAGGAACTACATTATACTCACTAACAGCAATGTTAACACCAAAGCTCTTCACACTGAAAGCACTGTTGCTGCGATGAAGGCTTCTGCTGATCTGTAGTGTATAAACTCCAGAGTCTGTGGTTCTGGTGTTTGTGATGATCAGAGATCCAGTCTGATGATCCAGCTTCAGTCTGTCTCTGAATCTCTCTTTGCACTGATCATCTGTACAGATCTTACTCATATATCCAGTGATTTCAGCAATGAGAATATCTTTATAATACCATCTCATCACCTCATTTGGTTGTCTTTCTAGACCAGGATCTAAAGTGACAGATTCTCCCTCCTTCACTGACTTTTCATCTTGTTCAGAAGCAAAAACACCTGAAACACAAACCAACAGCTGCTGAAGGATTTTTTTTGGGGGGGAAAAACAACAAAACAACGTGAAAGCACTGTGTATATGAAAACAATTTCTCATGCTGTTTACAGCACTTATTTGTTTTGCACACATTTTACAAACTTTTTTAAAATTAAATACTTAAACAGTAAATGTGTTTTCAAATAGACTGAGTGTATACGGCATTAAAATACATTAAGAGAAAAGAACTACTCTAAATGTTACTGCAAAAAAAAAAAAATGTTGTGATTTAAATCTATTTAATCTGCTTTTAAACATTCATTCAGTGACTCACCATAAACAGTAACATTGAAGGTCTTTTCACTGATGCTGAAGCTGCTGATGATCTTTAGTTCATAATGTCCAGAGTCTGTGGTTCTGGTGTTCATGATGGTCAGAGATCCAGTCTGATGATCCAGCTTCAGTCTATCTCTGAATCTCTCAGTACCTTCATTACACTGAACATCTGTACATATATCACTAAGATCTCCACTGATTTCAGCTATTCGAATGTCATTAAAATACCATTTAATATCTTCTTGTTGGTTTGTTTCAACATCAGTGTTTAGAGTGACTGGATCTCCCTCCATCACGGATACTTCGACAATATCAACACAAAAAAAACCTGAAAAAGAAATGAAAAGTTCATTATGGACCAAACAAAAATAAACAACAGGTAAGAGCTGTGAAATTTTTTTTCTCCAGATCATACAGATTATAGGTAGAGAAACCTGTCTGAATTCAAAATATTCATGCAAATACAGTAGCCTACACAAGTCTCATGAATAATCTTCAGCAAACTAATGATTATACAAACCAAATTGTGATTCATGTGCAGTCATAAAATAAAGTGTTTTCATAGACAATTGATAGAATATTGCTCATTATGCCTAATAATAATATTGATGAAAATTATCCATAAACAAGAAAATTGTGCTTTTAATTACAAAATATTGTTTTTAAGTATCCTTACGAAAATTAACCATGGTTTTACCACGAGAAGAAAAAAAAAACACCTGGTTATTGTAGTTATACCGTACTCACAAATTAACCATGGTTTTGCTACAAAAATCATTAACTATGGTATTTGTGTGGTTGTACAAATTGTAATCAATACTCCAAAAAAACATGGTTTTAATCAAATAAAACCATGATTCATTTTCGTAAGACTACTTTGAATAGGCTACACGTGAGATGTATATTTGAAGAGTTCCAATGCAAAAGTCTCTAAAAGCCATCTTGGTCAAAAATGAGGTAACAATACTGAGTGATTGCTCTCCACACATAGTATATGTTCATCAAGTACTTTCACTTCAAATGCGCTAAATCCCAGCCTCAACCCATTCAGAAGTACCAGTATACTTACATAGATACCTATACATAGTAGCCAGAAAGAAATGCTAATTGTAAAGAAAAACGTCAGATGTACTTAAGAGGCTTTTGCATCTGAACTCTTCATTTATAGTTTGTTAGAAGGTTTCAACCAAAGCTCACATTACCAGCAAGGTAGGCAACATTTGATCCGTTTTTAAACTAACGTAACGTTAAAATATATCAACATTTACTCACAGTGATGCCATGTTATCTTTAGATAAAGTTGGACAAATTTTACTTTGACAGTCTATCATATTCATTGCCTAACCTGACTTCTCACAAAAGTTGAGCAAAATATGAAACTGTAGCAAAGCGACTAGAGCTGAAAAACAAACAGAACACTTTTCGTTTTTATCGTTAGCAGGCAGATAACAAACAAGTGTCTAACCATGGTGGAATAAAACCAAAAAGAAAAATAACAAAATCGCCATTCCACTATCGCCATAAAAAAATTATAAAAGAAAATAAAAAAAGACATGCATATCCCTTTGTACAGTCTCTTCCCGAGTGGCAACCTCCCGCTCTCTCTCGTGAAGCCAACAAGGAAGTGACTAAAACTGTAATTCATCAACTGGCCGCTAGAGGCTGGCTGCAAAAGGGAGTCAATCCCATAGACTCCCCATGTTAAAATGCCCAACTTTACAGCAGAA